GCAACTACCTAAAACTTCTTATTGGGATAAGGAAGCTAGATATACCCTTATGGGGGATAAATTGCTTATGTTGCGATATAGTAAGTCAATGTCAAAAGGGGAATGCTCATTGTCAAAGAAACCATCATTAGGACACCCAAACACTCTAGAGCACCAGAAGTTGGTGTTTGATTTCATGAGGGCAATGGATAATGCCCAGAGGACAAAGTCCCTAGCGAATGATGGATAGGAGATGCTATCCAAATGTTCAAGGTTGCGAAGACAGGAAAAGTCCGTCTACCCAAATTGGACAAAGCCAAAAAAGGGGATTTTAGCAAGGCTAGTGATAGGCATATGAAGGCCCATAAGTAGCAATGGTAATCCCAGTGTGTGGGATTACAATGTGAGCAAACTCGGATTGAGGAACCACTCCCTAGGCTGTCGGGTAGGTTCATCCTTATGAATACTCGCCAAAGCATAGTAGAAAGAGCAAAGCTATCTTCCTAGCCTGGAGGAGAATAACCAAAGGAAATGTATGAAGCCAAAAGGCAAGTAGTAAAGGGATAGAATTGAACCATAGGAATTGACAGGCATGACCAAGGGTGGTTATAAAAGTTGGGAGTGGAGAATCAAGTGGGTGCTCAAGCATATTGTTACTAGCGACCGGGATGCCATAGAGAGTCTAAAGCATGAGATTGTCCATGCTAGACTATATGGTAATTGGAAAGCTTGCGAATGGAGAGACTTTAGCAAGCTCAGGAATAAAGTTCCTTGAACATTCCCTTAAGTAGATAAGTACCTAGACATCCAAGTGTAAATGGTTTATAAAGTGTGCGAAATTAGAGTGGCGCAACAGAAGCGTGGTCTTGAAGTTTGCCAAGAAGCGAGGCTATCAATGTAAGGGAAGTAGTTCCCGAGTGTTCAAAGAGAGGGTTTTGAATGAAAGTCGATGGTTAAGGACTTTCACGTTTATGCATGAACCATGTTACAATAGTCGGATGACTTGCTAAATGAGATTGGCAAGTCAGGGGAACGAATACCCTAGTTGAAGGAGCCAACTTCAAAGGGGTGGCCCATGGGGCCAAGCATGGAGGAGTCCATGTCTGATTACAGACTTGTCAAGTGAGAAGACTTGGTAGTGCGGAGGAACTAGGTTCTTAAGCGGTGATCTATAGCGCGCTTTAAATATAAGTTGGTGCACCGGCGTGGGGAGTCACGCCAGGCATCCGGTGTGATGCCGTCTGTAGATGCATATACAGAGGTTGGGTTCGAGTCCCGACCCTTTAGTGCTTGGGTTCGAGTCCCAATTCATTAGGGTGCGGTGATAGTTTGGAATATGAGGACACTCATTTTTCGGTGGTCATGGACTCTTAGTAAAGAGATTAGCTTGGGCACACCGCCAAGTGGGGGATGCCCCGAAGTTGTGATATATGGTTAGATTGCTTAGTGTGAAACCTCGGCATATCTAACTTGAAAACTTTGGTGCAAGTGGCACCAAGGACGTGGTGAATGAGATGGGGACACCCAGTCTCAGTGGCTATGGACCCTTGGCCGGATGGGCTGGCTTAGGTGCACCGCCAAGTGTGGGGGATGCTCTCGTGGTCATAATCAACAATTTAAAAGTCTAGAAGATCTAGTATTTATTAGCAAACCTATTAAGGTGCCAAGGTTAGATCACTAGGTGATCTTATGGCTAAAACAATGACAAAGTCCTTGTGAGGTTAAGGGATAAAATTTCAAGTTCAAAGTGTTAATTGGAACTATTGATGATGGTGTGATTTGGTCAAGGTGACCAAGTGAGAAGGACACCTAAGGGAAATGAGATATGTTAATGCAATGGCATAGTGAGTCTGAGGAAAGTAGTCTCTATAAGAGACCTATACGAGGGTCACAAAGTTGAGCCGTGGATAGAGTCCACAACAAAAGATGTTAAAGAGATGTACTAGAGGTGAACACCCTCCGGACTTGGCAAAGGAGAGTTTTTTGCTATGAAACTGAAAGGATATTTCGAAAATGGAGGTAACGATCCTATGTTGTTGAGTGCAACAATCAAGGATAGGAGCAAAAAACTAGTGGCTAAGTAAAGAGCTATGGGAATCATGGGAAAGGCAATGTGTTCCCAAGGATGGATTCCCAATTGCTCCAATGTGGCGAAAGTGGAAGCTCCAAGGGTGGGAGCAGTAAAGTAGCCAAATGATAGGGCTATGGACAGCCCTAGCACAAATTATGATAACTAGAACTTAGTGCCAAAGGTGGCACGAAATCGAATAAAGGATGATGTTGCCCTCAAGTAGAGAACTTCCTAGGATGCGGAGACACCCAGGAAATTGACTTCGAGAAATCAGAATTAAAAGTTCCAAAGTGCAAGGGTTATATTAATGGAAAGTGAGACCACTCGAGAATGAGTAGTGGGATTGAGTTAGAGAAAGTGTCTTTAATAGGTTTAGTGAGAACTAAACCAATAAAAGGAGAGAACCACCACAAGTGGTCGAATGAACCTCTAAGTTGGAGAGGCTATACTCTTTAGAGGATGGACAAGGCATGGTGAGCCTTTGGTGTCAAATTATAGACAAATATTGGCTGGGTGCAAGGATGGAAATGGTAATACGTGTGGGTGTTACTTTATGAAGGGGTTGACTGTTCAAAGAGGACATCGAACTTCGTTTATGGGTGGTGGAGTTGTGAAACACAAAATCCCTGGGCCCCAAAGTGGAGCCGAAAGGGCGCCACGTGGTAGTGGCCGAAGCGAAAGCCAAACAAATGTAGCACATTTAAACTAAAAGCTCCGACTTGAAAAGGTCGAGAGTGGGAGTGGAACTCCCAACAAAAGGCTCGAGGAACAAGCACAAAGTGAAAGATAAGTGAGTCTCTAGAAAAGAGACACAAGAGGACCGACACATGACACGTGGAAGTGTTCGAGATGGAGTCCAAGATAGATCCAAGATGGAGTCCGAGATGGACCCAAGATGGAGTCCGAGATGGACCTGAGATGGAGTCCGAGATGGACCCAAGATGGAGTCTGAGATGGAGTCCGAGATGGATCTGAGATAGAGTCCGAGATGGAGTCCAAGATGGAGTCCAAGATGGACCCGAGATGGAGTCCGAAGTCGAGACCGAGACCAGGACCGAGACCGGGATCGAGACCGAGACCAAGATCGGGACCGAGACCGAGACTGAGATCGGGACCGAGACTGAGACCGAGGCCGAGGCCGAGACCGAGACCGAGGCCAAGGCCGAGACCGAGGCCGAGTCCGAGTCCGAGTCCAAGCCCGACTCTGAGTCCGAGTCCAAGCCCGACTCTGAGTCCGAGTCTGAGAGGGTGAAAGCCCCAAGCGTTCGTCTCCCAGACCCTAGGGGGTTTAGTGAGCTCCAAAAGTATAGTAGGGGGGGAGACTGTAGTGGAGCCAGTTTGGCCAGGAA